GTGTGAAATTGAAAATCACGTATTATTCGTGCTTTTCCCATCAACAATCATTTTCTAGAATGTTTTGTAATCGACAGTATTCGGCCTTTAATAACGTTGTTATTTTGTAATTAGTTAATTTAAAGATTGAGATAAGTCACATAATATCATATTACCTCGTAAGATATAAACTAATAAAACTCCTTTCTCTTACAAAGGAGGACTGAAGCAGATTCCACGATGCACCATTACTTTAGTAAATCTGTTTTGAAAGGTTGATTTATTTTTAGAACGAGTGTGTGGAAAACTTTGTTTGTATTGTGGACACTACTATTCGACAACAGCACGAAAGAGAGAGACTGGCGTCTATCTTAAACAGGATTGAAAGTTACGATAGCATCGAAAACAGTAATGATGAACTCGAAAAGGTCAGTTATGTAATACAAATAATATAGAACAAAATAAAGGATAAAGATTTATCTTCCAGTAAAATTGAACAATATTGATATTCATTATTGTTGTTATGAGGCACAAAAACAGTCAGTAATGTTAATAGTATATTGCACCTAGTGCTGAAGAGATAATATATGTTGTTAAAATGAACAGCGAATTACATGATAATCCATTTTGGCTGATATAGTTATATATATATATATATATATATATATAGTATATGAAACAATGAAAAGCAATTACAGTAATCCAAAAAACGATTTAAAGACTTCAATGACTCAGAAGAATGACCCCATTTTCTTTCGGTGGTTAGGATGTGTAAAGATACCACCTTTCAAAAGCTCTCAGGATTTAAAAATACTTTGAATTAATGCAAGCGATGAAATAATCTGATTATTATGTATGAAAACGTTAAGAACACACACAAAAAGAACTCTCCTAAACATTTTGTTATAAGGATTTAGGCTTGGTAACCTTGTTTTACTAAAATATGTAATGCATTTAAAAAATAAAGTTTGTAATTTCTATAAGAAATATTGACTGTGTGCAGTATAATTGTAAGGAAGAGGAACAATATTAGCAACATTGGTTGAGCAATAGTAGCAACACTGGATGAACAGTAGTAGCAACACTGGTTGTAGAATGAAACAATAAAAAAAAACACGAGAAACTATTGGCCTGCATCTTTACATGAAATACATTCATAAATACTGGGAGCTACACAAAGGTAAAACGCACATCAACGAACATAGAAATATACTATGCATGTTTAATACGATATGGTCTTCCAAGGTTTTTAAAAGCATTATCTTTGAAACGAAATGCTTGGTTTGAGGTTAAGCCTCTCTTTGTTGTTCTGGTTTGGATAGCTCGAGATATTATTATTATTATGCTCGTTCAACAATTTACATTTAAGTCACCGAGTTAGTATGAATTAACATTCAAACATATATTTGTTCAGAATTGTAAGTTTTATATACCATATGTTTCAAGCCATACCTTTGTGGAATCTTCTACCACAGAGTTCAAGCCTTGTTATTCTGAATCACGCAAAGAAGAAATAACGCGATACTAAATTCTGACGTCTATTCTAGCGACGAATAGTTTGAAATATTAATCTAAGATAAAAACCATAAGAAACTAAATAAATGTTTCATATTCCATGGTTTATATCACATGTTGTTCCATGGAAATAAATGATAGATAGCTAATAAGTAGCTTTTGTTTGTTCTCCATTTTATTTAAAAACAGACTAAAATCTGGAACTCAAAATAAGGTAACACCAAATAAAACTGAAGCCTTGTTAATATAGATATCAAAATACTTAGAAAATAAAATTATTGGTTAAGAGCACGTGTCAATAAAGCAGCGCACTTGTTTTTTCTCTAAACTAGAAAGATATAAGCGATCATTCCAACACGTGCCAGTAGAGTGGT